TTCTCCTTCTTCTGTGGCCGCAATGAAATTGATAACTTTTTCTGTGAATCTACACAAATAATAAATCTCTGGTGCAATGACACCTACCAGCTGGAGTGTGTCATTACCATCCTGGTGGCTTTATTCATTATCCCCACATTTGCATTAACCCTGGCATCCTATGTTTGTATCATCGTCACCATCCTGGTTTGGGGATCCAAGCCCTCCTGGCCCTGCCCCCGGCAGGTGAGATCCTGGCACCTGTATTGTCCAGGGAGCCACAAACGGGGTGACCCAGGTCTGGGGTCCCCTAGGCCAGGGTGGGTCCCTGGAGGCTGGCCGGCAGGTCAGAGAGTTACCAGGGGATGGGGATAAATCCCAGGGGGTGGGTCTAAGGTCAGCATCGCTACAGTTTATGGGCCAGATTTCCGAAGGGGATGAGGGGCCTAAAGGAGAGGAGAGGCACTTCTGTAAACCCCACCCAAGGTCTAGGTGAGTTAGGGCTTTCCATAGCAGGCAGGTGCCTATGTCCCATTTGTTTTTTAAAACTGTAACTAGTATAAACACAAATCTTCCCATGAACCATCAAGAGATGTCTGAAACTCATAGGTCTGGCGGCTTTCAAAAATAGTTAATAATAACTTGTGGAACTCACTTCCACATGATAATTTTTTTGTGTTTAAAATAAAATTTGTTTGCTTTATTGTTTTTAAATGTTCAGACTTTCCATTTCATCAAACAACCCCTTGAGATCGGAATCAGATGCCTTGTATCTTGACTGACACTGCAGAAAGAAGGGTCAAAACCTTTCTGTTACACAAGTCAAGTCAAAGGAGTAAATGTAGATTTACTCTACATTCGTAGATTGTAATGCCAGAAGGAACATAACATAAGAACGACCATACTGGGTCAGACCAGAGGTCCATCTAGCCCAGTATCCTGTCTTCTGACAGTGAACAATGCCAGGTGCCCCAGAGGGAATGAACTCAACAGGTAATCATCAAGTGATCCATTCCCTGTCACCCCCTCCCAGCTTCTGAAAAACAGAGGCTAGGGACACCATCCCTGCCCATCCCGGCTACTAGCCATTGATGGACCTATCCTCCATGAATTTATCTAGTTTCTTTTTGAATCCTGTCATAGTCTTAGCCTTCATAAAATCCTTTGGCAAAGAGTCCCACAGATTGACTGTGCGTTCTGTGAAGAAATACTTCCTTTTGTTTGTTTTAAAGCTGCTGCCTATTAATTTCATTTGTTGACCCCTAGTTCTTGTGTTATGAGAAGGAGTAAATAACACTTCCCTATTTACTTTCTCCACACCAGTCATGATTTTATAGACCTCAATCATATCCCCCCTTAGTCATCGCTTTTCTACGCTGAACAGTCCCAGTCTTACTAATCTCTCCTCATACGGAAGCTGTTCCACACCCCAATCATTTGTGTTGTCCTTTTCTGAATCTTTTTCAATTCCAATATATCTTTTTTGAGATGGGGCGACCACATCTGCACGCAGTATTCAAGATGTGGGCGTACCATGGATTTATATAGAAGGGACCATTGTGATCATGTAGTCTGACCTCCTGCATAAACACAGGCCAGAAACCTGCCCCAAAATAATTCCTAGAGCAGATCATTTAGAAGTACACCCAATCTTGATTTAAGAATTGTCAGTGATGGGGAATCCACCATGAGCCTTGGTAATTGATTCCAATGGTTAATAAGCTCACCATTGAAAAATTATACTTTATTTCCAGTCTGTTTTTGTGTAGGTTGATGGAAGAATTCTTTCACCGACTTAGCTACTGCCTCTCACCAATAGACCCTTATTTGATCTATAACCCACTATTCTAAATGTATGTGACCCTGAGTGTCATCTTGGCTGGAGAAGCCCTGTCTGTGCTCTCTAAGCTAAAGCAGTTTGTGAGACTGAGCAGAGGAAAACCTCTTTAGTAAACAGAATGAGTCTCTCTCACCTCCCACTTCACTCCACTGAACACAGTAGATGTGGCTTTCACATGATCCAAAGTCCACTATTGATTGTTGCATATAATTGTGTGAGCGTGAAAAGAGTTTTGTTTAAAATAACAGAGCATATGAAAACTGTTCATTTGTATGTGTGTTGTCTGAAGACCATTCTTTTGGTTTTCTTTTTTTCTTTAAATTAATGATTACATATATGACTTGAGCGATAGAGGATCTGGCTCAAAATGGATGAAAAAAATGTATTTCAGTCTGCCAGGGTAATTATTCTATACAGGAGGAATAAAAAGAATTATTTCCAGTGGGTTTTAGAAGCTGACTGCTTCAGCCATTGTTGTTTGTTCTGTCCATGAAAACTGTGACTCCCCAGACTCACTAATTAAAAATGCCATTAAGGAGTGGGATCAGGGGAGACCTAGCTTTCTCCTGTAACAGCTACAATTATGAGCAGGTATCTGCAGTTCATAAATAGAGGGGAAAGAGTAAAGAAACCTGCATCTTACTGATGGGACATAAAGATATCACATACTCAGTTGGAACATGCTAAGAGAATCCAGCACCTTGAAGAAAAATGAGAAGGAAAAACTTGAATGTAGTTACCAAATCCTGAAGAAATGAGAGATCCTTGTTTATGGTCTGAAACTTCCTGCAGTTCCTGGTAAGCATCATCCCGTTCCTCCTCCGCCCCTCCCACTCCTGCTCTGGATTGAGATAGCTCTCATCTTTGTTGTTTGTAGTGTAGTTGTAGCCATGTTGGTCCCAGGTTATTAAAGACAAAAAGGTGGGTGAGGTAATATCTTTTATTGGACCAACTTCTGTTGGTGAAAGAGATGAGCTTGTGAACTGACCTGAAGAAGAGCTCTGTGTAAAAGAGCTTGTCTCTTTCACCAACAGAAGTGGGTCCAGTAACAGATATTGCCTCACCCACCTTGTCTCTCTGTAGTTTCTAATGCACATTCAAATGCAGAATATTAATGGCAACTCAAGCAATGTTAAGGCAGTTTCATTTTGCAAATCAATGGGATGCTTATCCCTCAGATGTGTTGATACACTAGGTCACCACTGAGAGACTGGGAGTTTGATGAAGCTGGGGCACATATTGTTTTTCAAAATCTGTTGGAGATAAGAGCGAAGGCCAAAGGAAGTTGTGGAGTGAGCTATCCACAGCGCTGTATGCCATATGATATTCTATAGAGTCCCGTTCCATGCAGCTTCTTATAACACCCTCATTCCTGTCGAATCCGAGCACCTTCCAGTTGTGCATGAAGTGATAACTGAGTGTGCTGTGCAGTGATTTGTTTGTCAGGGTTTTGCTTTGGGAGATTTGTTTTCCAACATAAACTCGGCTCTTTTTTGTGTTGGAGAAGGCAGGCCAAGCAGCGCGCCATGCTCTTGGAGTGGAAGGTGGTGAGGTTTGTGATGGGCTTGAGTCTGAGCCCACTGAGTAAATTCACCCAGGAACTGACTCCTGAGACGCCTTTGTCTCTTGCACAGGTGAGCTTTACCCTGGCAATGGAGACTTCCACTGGGCCAGGGGAGCAGTGCTGTCAACCCCGGTCCTCATGCCAAAGCATTAGGTGATCTGTAATACTCACTTATGGAAATCCAAATAAAACTCCAGTACCACAGAGGGGACTAAAACTTCATATTAACCCCCTCAATTAGATGCAACAACATAAGATTAAAACAAGACAAAAACATAGCACTCAGTGAAAGATACTGATTGCTGGAGGTGCTGTCCACACTAATCAGTACAGATCTTTCAGATGCTCCAGGCCTAGGCCACTGAGCACATTAAACAAAAGGACTGAGACTTTGAACTTGACTCAGTATTCTGTGGGAAGCTGCGTAGAGAGCGAAGAACAGGTTTGAAAGGGTTAAGATAGTGGTGGGGATGCAGGAGACTTTTCCATTCACTTCTCATCTTCCATGCTGTTAAGGTTTTGGGTGGGTTGGATGTGTCTCAACACAAAATTAACTACAGTAACTCCTCACTTAAAGTCATCCCGGTTAATGTTGTTTCATTGTTACGTTGCTGATCAATTAGAGAACATGCTCATTTAAAGTTGCACAATGTTCCCTTATAACGTCATTTGGCAGCCGCCTGCTTTGTCCACTGCTTACAGGAAGAGCAGCCCGTTGGAGCTAGTGGTGGGGGCTTGGAACCAGGGTGGACCGGCAGCCCCCCTAAGTTCCCTGTGTGGCAGCCGCCCAGCAGGCTCTCAATTGCTGGCAATTCAGCTTTCCCTCCCCCCACTGTCGTGTGCTGCTCCCGCCTTCTGCCTTGGAGCTGCTCCTTGGAGCCTCCTGCTTGCTGTGCGGGGATGGGGTGGGGGTGAGGGGTAAAAGGGGGCTAATGTCAGGGTGTCCCCATCCCCCCCTGCTCCTGCACCCCGCTTACCCCATCTCCATAGAGCGGGGGGAGAGGGGGCACAAGAGGGCTCAGGACAAAGGGAGCTTGCTGGTCGCAGCTGCTATCTCAACTTCCTGATCTACTTTAAAAAGCAATGTACTTAGAGTGGGGTCATCGTACTTAAAGGGGCAATGCGCATCTCTCTCTCTCATACAGGGTATGTGTCTCTGTCTCTGTTTGTCATGGTGTCTCCCCTCCCTCCATTCATGCTACCTTGTAGAGTGTGAGGCTACATTAACAATAATGTGTTAACCCTTGAGGGCTCAGCCCATTTAGCAGTAAGGAATTCCCTGGGAAATATCCCACCCTCTAACTTCACCATCTCAACCAAGCTTCACAATCAACATTGCTGTGTACAGTATTAAATTGTTTGTTTAAAACTTATACTGTGTGTATATAATATAGTTTTTTGTCTGGTGGAAAAAAAATTCCCTGGAACCTAACTTCCCCTATTTACATTAACTTTTATGGGGAAATTGGATTCACTTAACATCGTTTTGCTTAAAGACGCATTTTTCAGGAACATAATTACAAGGTTAAGCGAAGAGTTACTGTACCGCTAAACAAAGTTTTCCTTTGTGTTAATATTTTTTTTATTTTTCCCAGGTAAAAACCCCACGACGAACCCAAAATGGGAAACCAAACAGCCATCACAGAATTCATCCTCCTGGGGTTCGGGGATCTCCCTGAGCTGCAGACCCTTCTCTTCCTGCTGTTTCTAGTGATCTATGTTTTGACCATGGCTGGGAACATCCCCATTGTTGTGCTAGTTGTGGCTGATCAGCACCTTCATATCCCCATGTATTTCTTCCTGGGGAACTTGTCCTGCTTGGAGACCTGCTACACTTCCAACATCCTGCCCAGGATGTTGGTCAGTTTCCTGACAGGGGACAGAACCATTTCATTCAATGGGTGTCTCACACAATATTATTTCTTTGGATGCTTAGCAGCTGCAGAATGTTATCTCCTAGCAGCAATGTCTTATGATCGATACCTAGCGATATGCAAACCACTGCATTATGGAGCCCTCATGAATGGCAGGCTCTGCCTCCAGCTAGCTACAGTGTCTTGGGTAAGTGGCTTTCTGGCTAATACTATATTAACATTTTTTATCTCCAACTTAATCTTCTGTGGTCCCAATGAAATTGACCATTTCTTCTGTGATTCCTTCCCAATGATGAAACTCTCTTGCAGTGACACTCATCTGACTGGACTTTTAACGTCCATTGTGGCTTGCATATGCTCACTGCCTCCGTTTCTATTAACCGTGACATCCTATATTTATATCATTACCTCCATCCTGAGAATCCCTTCCAGCACTGGGAGGAAGAAGACATTTTCCACCTGCTCCTCCCACCTTATTGTGGTTACAATTTTCTTTGGGTCGATACTGATTGTGTATGTGCTTCCGCATAGCAACAGACTGAAGGACTTTAAGAAATTCTTCTCCATCTTTTACACCGTCCTGACTCCCATGGTCAATCCACTCATCTACAGCCTGAGAAACAAAGAAGTAAAGGAGGCCCCGAGGAAAGCTTTCAATAAATGTATGGATTTTAAGACACTGCAGAAAATTCAGATTGTTTCAAGTTAGTGAAACACTATTCATAATTTTGATTTTCTTTTGAGTCAGTGAGATGCAGCCAGGCATTCCCTAGTTTTAGCCATTGAGAATGTGCAGCTGTAACATCTGCAAATATGCAGAAAAAGCAACAACAACAAAAAGGTGGAGAGTGCAGGATCTATTGATCCTGTTGTATAAACAGTTTATGTATGTAGGAAGATATGTTGGTAGCAAATTCAATTAAGTAAAATAAGTACATTTATCTTACTATATGTCACTTCTTTTATATGATCTTTCTTTCTTTCTTTCTTTCTTTTATGATACCATCCAAGATGTTAGGTACATACTTAGCCAGCTTGCCCCTCCTGCCACAAGAGCCAGTGGGGCTACATTTCTATTTTTAGCACACTAGCTCAGTCAGAGATAGTGTGGATATGTCTCCTTGAGCTGGAAACTACACCATCCATCTCCAGTTTATACATACCCTTTGTGTCTATAGAGTGGTATTAAACCCTCGTAATGGAGGGGAGAATCTGAAATGCGAACAAATGTTGAAATATTGGAATTGCTCACCAGAAAAAATTAAATTTGCTGACCAGCTGTTCTATCCATGGAACTATCAAACATTTTCTGATTCTAACTTTATCATTAATACATTTTCTCTCACTCTTGGTATCTCCAGCGCTTCGTCTTCTCCCTTCATCTCTCTCCATCTCATCTTTATGGCCTGAGGGTAGAGTTCTAGGACCAGGATTCAGCAGAATTCTCCTGATCCCTCTCCCTTGGTAGTTTCCACCTGGCTGCTCTCTCAGATCACAGAAAACCAGACATGCGGTGATATTTAGCGCAACGTGCAGTCATGTCTGCAGTCCTGTTTGGATGGGCACTCGTCCCCTAACCAGTGAGAGATCTAAAAGGGACCAGTCTGGCTGCACAGTCTCTCCTAGAAGATGTGTAATTTGGTAATTAATTATTTGATCCATTAAAGTGCAATGAGGGCTATCTGACAGGCTGCAAACTGTGAATACTGTGCTCCACTGCCACCGCAAAACAAAACAACAGAACTTGTTTCTTTTACTCAGAAAAATAGTTGAAAAACATTTATTTATTTCCTGGAAATAAACCTTCCATGAGCAGCCAAAACCCCACTTTTTCAATGATAAAAATTTGAATGGAAATTTTTGCCCAGCTCTAATTATGACTCCTTGGAACAGCTGAGCCCTGGATTGTGCTATAATCTTTCTATTTGATATTCGTTAAACATTCAGTTTCTCCCAGCAACATATGCAAGGATAGTATCCATGTATCCATGTTTTCACAGAAAACATGCACCCTGGACATTTTCAAATAATTTGAGATGGGAAAACCAAATAAGATAAAAATAGATCATTAATCAAAAGGATCTTTCTAACTGAATGCTACCAGAAGGTGGCAGTGGTGTGCTATATATATATATATTAAACAAGAGGCACAGTTACTTTTCAGTTTTCTCTCAAGAAGAAAACAGGGCAGGGAGACAGGTTTTATACTGTATAATATCCTCTAGAGAGACTAGTAAAAGGAGACATGATACAGAGCTGCAGAATAATGAGAGATCACAGTAGAAAAATCAGAGCTCCTTCATCACAAGGAGCATTCAAAGAAATTTAGAATTGATAAAAGGAAACGCTTCCCCCACACATGGAGTAAAATTAGTGGTGGAACTCCATGTGACTAGACAATATTGAGACTAAGTGTAAAAATTTCAGCAATGCCTAAATGGCATAGGAGCCTATATCTCATTTTCAAAAGTGTGCGAGGAACTATCTGGCCACTAGATGCAGGATTTTGAAAGATATTTAAGTGCCCAAAGATGCCAATTTTCAAAAGCACTGAGACATCTAACTCCATTGGTTTCAGTAACAGTTAATTGCCCAAGTGCTTTTGAAAATTCCATTAGGTGCCTATCTGGATCTTTAGGTACCTAAATACCTTTAAAATCTGTTTTTTAGATTTTTAGGGCCAGATTTTGAAAGGTATGCTGGTTTGGATGGAACACTTACTGGACCAGCCACAAATTCTGACCTCTGTGGGTGAGTTAGCATCTACACGGCGGTCAATATTTGGAGAGGCATATCTCTCATTGCTGCTGACATTGCTGTGAGTGTCTTTCTTTTGGTTTTTGGGCTCTGTGTGTTTTCTCTATATAATGCTTTTGGAAAAAGTGTGCAGCATCCCTTGAATGAAATGACCCCTAAGTGATTAAGTCTCCTGGGGACCTAGAATCATAGAATATCAGGGTTGGAAGGGACCTCAGGAGGTCATCTAGTCCAACCCCCTGCTCAAAGCAGGACCAATTCCCAACTAAATCATCCCAGCCAGGGCTTTGGCAAGCCTGACCTTAAAAACCTCTAAGGAAGGAGATTCCACCACCTCCCTAGGTAACCCATTCCAGTGCTTCACCACCCTCCTAGTGAAAAAGTTTTTCCTAATATCCAACCTAAACCTCCCCCACTGCAACTTGAGACCATTACTCCTTGTTCTGTCATCAGGTACCACTGAGAACAGTCTAGATCCATCCTCTTTGGAACCCCCTTTCAAGTAGTTGAAAGCAGCTATCAAATCTCCCCTCATTCTTCTCTTCTGCAGACTGAACAATCCCAGTTCCCTCAGCCTCTCCTCATAAGTCATGTGCTCCAGCCCCCTAATCATTTTTGTTGCCCTCCGCTGGACTCTTTCCAATTTTTCCACATCCTTCTTGTAGTGTGGGGCCCAAAACTGGACACAGTACTCCAGATGAGGCCTCACCAATGTCGAATAGAGGGGAATGATCACATCCCTCGATCTGCTGGTAATGCCCCTACTTATACAGCCCAAAATGCCGTTAGCCTTCTTGGAAACAAGGGCACACTGTTGACTCATATCCAGCTTCTCATCCACTGTAACCCCTAGGTCCTTTTCTGCAGAACTGCTTCCTAGCCATTCGGTCCCAAGTCTGTAACAGTGCACGGGGTTCTTCCATCCTAAGTGCAGGACTCTGCACTTGTCCTTGTTGAACCTCATCAGGTTTCTTTTGGCCCAATCCTCTAATTTGTCTAGGTCCCTCTGTATCCTATCCCTACCCTCCAGTGTATCTACCACTCCTCCCAGTTTAGTGTCATCTGCAAACTTGCTGAGAGTGCAGTCCACGCCATCCTCCAGATCATTAATGAAGATATTGAACAAAATCGGCCCCAGGACCGACCCCTGGGGCACTCCGCTTGAAACCGGCTGCCAACTAGACATGGAGCCGTTGATCACTACCCGTTGAACCCAACGATCTAGCCAGATTTCTATCCACCTTATAGTCCTTATAGTCACCTGTCTGTGACAAGCTAAAGTTGGATCGTAATCTCACATGTAATTAGTTCTTCCAGTTGAAGGGGAAGATGATGGCTCACAGAGGTAACCTAAGATACTACAGTGATGTGTACAACTCTAGCTAGATACATAGACAGATAGAAGATAATTTTCAGAACTGTAACAAAGAACCAGATGGGCACTTTAGGATATCATTCTTCAAAGAAAGAAACAAAGAGGACTCCAGATTGACTTTCAAAGTCAGAATTCAATGCCATTCATTTAGAATTAAACATTCTATGGAAGCAAATTCAGACTCAGTGTAAAGAGGTGCAGATCCTTTGCACTTATAATAACCGTCTGAGCCCATCATAGTCCAGTGCAAAAATCCCCATTGACCTCAATGTGCCCTCAAGTTTCCTTTTCTAACAATATTTTTTGTTCAGTCGACAAATTCTGCTCTAGTTTACACCCAGAATCTGTCTGATGACTCCACTTAAGTAATGAGAGCAGCTTTGGGTTCAGATCTGTCTGATTGTGACATAATTTTTGTCTGGGTTTATAAATGGGATCAGAATCATGTTCAGCGGAGTTACACACGGTTGTAAATTAGCTCAGAAGCTGGACTCATTGGAGTTACACAGTAGTATAAGCCCCACGCAGGAGAAAGAAGGGATTCATATTCAGTGAATATGCATAGATCAGGAACAAATGTATTCTTAACTTGAAGTATTGAGCTCTCTCAGAGGTAAAACACATTACTTTTGGATGTCATTAGACTCTAGCAAGACGGGAAAGGGGAAGAGATTCCATCTTTCTTCCCTTTTCTTTTATACCTCTCTTTTTTCCAAGACACCCTCCACTTCAATGTCCAGGTTCCATTAGTACAATGAGACCACCTGGCACACTCATCTTTCTGGATGAGATTTTCAAAGGCTTTGAAGGGACTTATATTCCACAATTCAATGAGGGCCTAAATAACATAGGCTCCATTGAAAATCCCAGCCTCTTTGCTCAGGAAGTCTTATCTATCTCACCCATCATTCATTTGATTATTATTATTTTTTTTGCTTGAATTGCTGTTTTACTAATTGGTTCTTTCAACACCACTTGCAGAAGAAATGGACATGGGAAATCAGAGTACAGAGACCGAATTCATTCTCCTGGGGTTCCTCATCACTCACAACCTGCTGATTCTTCTCTTCTTGGTACTTTTGCTCATCTACCTGGTGACGCTGATGGGGAACTTGGTAATAATCCTTGTGGTGTGGATGGATTATCTTTGCACACCCCTATGTACTTCTTTCTCTTAAACTTGTCTCTCCTGGAGACCTGCTTCATATCTTCCATCGTCCCAGTGATCCTGAGGAACCTGCTGTCCCAGAGTAAAGCTATTTCCTTCTCTGGTTGCATCATCCAGTGTTTCTTCTATTTCTTCCTAGGTATAACAGCATTCACCCTCTTATTTGTCGTGTCCTTTGATGGCTGTTTAGCCATCTACAACACACTGCGCTACCCCACTCTAATGAACAGCAGAGTGTGCATTCAACTAGTGCTTGCTTCTTGGTTAGAAAGTTTCCTTCTTTTAATCAGCCCAGCCATCATTTTATGTAAGCGGCCATACTGTCACTCTAATGCCATTGACCATTTCTTCTGTGATGCTGAGCCTCTCTCAAGACTCTCTTGCGCCGATACCAGAATCATGGAGGTAGCAAACTTTCTGATGGCAGAGGCTATGTTACTGGGCTCATTAATGCTGATGACACTGTCCTACGTTTACATCATGGCCACTGTACTGAGGATCCCATCTGCCTCGGGGAGATGCAAGGCCTTCTCTATAGGTGGTGCTCACATCACGGTGGCCTCCATCTTCATGCACGTCAGACCCTCACAGGCACGTTCCTTTGATATCAAGAAAGCTGCGAATGTGCTGACCACCGTTGTAAGATGGATTCAGTTTGCCATCTTAGTTTTCCTTTAGTTGTCCTTTACCCTCCATGTTATGCCCCCTTCTTGTTGCCCCTGTTTTGTAATCTGCCCAGTAACAGCTAAGTGGTGGGAAATGTTGGTGCCTTTTTGGAAATTTGAGTGGGAAATGATCAGGTGACCTGAAAAGGCTCTCCCTGGTAACAAAAGCTTATAAAAGCACACAGTGCCCTGTGACGGGTTCTGTCCATCCTAGAGGCAGCCCAGTGCTGACATCTAGTCACTGCTGAAACAACGTGGCAAGTCAGAAGATAGAAGATTGCTTACGTTTTCCTGTCCTGGTATTCTGAGGTGTCCTGGTGTTCATCATTCCTGCCCTGACATTGGTGTCTTCTGGTGATGTCCTTGGATTTTGTGTATCCCATGTCCTGTACAATAAGAAGAATGATGATGGTGACTTTTTACTTTGTCTTACCAATTGTTATTATATGATTTTGGGGCCTTGGCTTAAAGCCTGTTTGTATTGTTAACACCTGAGTACTTTTCCTGTTGTTTATTGGGTATAGTTATTTGGGGGTCCTTTAATAACTGTTCGGGGTTCTTTTTGCACCTAATCCTGCCTCCTTGGTTTTGGGGAATAAATCATTAACCGATAATAGATGCGGGAGGGGAACGAGCTTGCAGTGTGGGGGTTTGGGCTTGATTAGGGTTCCCAGCTCCCTTTGCAATTTACACTATGATAACCCCTTTGCTGAACCCATTCATATATACCCTGAGGAATGAGAAGGTCAAAGAGGCATTGAGAGAGGCCTTCTCACACAACATATTTCTTCCAGGCTCTCTAAGAATCCAAAAGGTGACCCTTACAGTCAAAGACCCAAAGAGATAAGCTCAGAGATGGGCAGGAGTGTTGTTAACTGAATATTTCTATCTGCATCCCAAAACATGATTTATGTGCTTGTCTTCACCCTCACACACAACCATCCGGCCACTGATTACAACCCTTCCACACTGAATGGGCCTAGCTGCCCAAACAATGGACAGCTACCATCTTGGGTGTGTTCTCCTGGATAGACCATGATGGAGGCACCTACTGGGTGGACAAAGAAAACCATTCTAATTGTGTGGGTCAAAGAGACCCTGAGACTCTCACAGACAAGTGGGGGAAGAAGAAAAACCACAGGGCATGGTGTAAATTATAGCAACCAGGGTGGGTCCAGGAGGATTTTGGCTGGCCAGGAGAATGTACTCTGATTCTGTTCCATCCCTGGAAATGAAGAGGAAGCCTGTCTAACCTGGCTTGTGATGAAGTGTAAGATGTGATGAGACTAAATATTTTTGCAGGCCATTTGGTGGTTTCAGTTCCTTCCATCTCACCCCACTCTGTTCTAACTGCTAAATAAAAGTACTTTATTTTAAGGCACTCATTGGTCTCTATCACTGGTCACAGATCCCTGAAAGGAGGAAATGCAGGTATTTGAAAGCAGGTTGGACCTACAGGGGGATAAGTGGTTGGTAGCATATCCAGATCCTGGTCTAAGTGTGGAAAAATGGCAAGATCCCACCCTGTGATCGGTCTGGGCAAGAGGCAAAATACTAGAGAGACCAGGAAGTAGACAGCCCAGTAACCATGGTTCCATCTCATATAAACATGTGTACCCCCCCTCCCCAAGATGCAAACACTCATACATTTTGGGGTGTTCAGAAGATGGCTCTGTTTCTGAATGTTGCAGGTTTGCCTCATCTTAGGCCTGGTCTACACTAGAAAATTAGGTTGGTTTCACTACATTGGTCAGGGATTGAAAAATCCACACCCCGGAGTGGTGTTATTAAACCAGCCTAAGTCCCTGTGTAGATAGCACTAGGTCAACGAACTAATTCTTCAGTTGATGTAGCTGCTGCCTCTTGGGGAGGTGGATTACCTATGCCAACCGGAGAATACCTCTGGGCGGTGTAGTGTCTACACTGAAGCGGTACGGCTACAACGGTGCAGCTCTGCCGCTGTTGTCTTTTAAGTGTAGTCAAGCCCATAAACTACATTCAGAGTTGGTTTAAAAAATGAATAAAATACAACAAAAATGTTTTTTCCCCCTTAATTTTGAAATTTAATTGACGTTTTGTAGTCTTAACATTTTCAACCAACCCTTTCCTGCTGCTTTTCTTTCAGCCGTTAGTACCATCACTGAAAAGAGTGGCTAAACTGCTGGTGAAATTCACCTGTATCCAGAGAAACCTCACAAGGCCTATGCACCATTTATGTCTCCGTTTGATGGTTAAATCCAATGTAAGGCCTATTTGGAGGACCTAATGCTGAGTCAAGTGTTGCAGTGTCCTGGAGTTGGCCTGCTGCACAAAGGCAAATGTCATCCTTTTAATTCACTAGGAACGAGGCACTGTATGGATGGCAACTACATATTAAATGGGTTTTGTCACATAGGTACTTTTGACAACTTTACCCAGTTAATTTAGGATTCTCCTAAGAGCCAGGTCACCAAACACAAACAAATGAGAGGCTCTGCTTCCACCCTGGCCTGGTTGGTTTTCCTCAGGAGCAGGAACAGCTTCTACTTTCTGCTTTGTATGGTGACAGGCCTTCTTTCTTCCTTGATGTGCTTCCAGCAGCAATTTCATAAATTGCATGTGGAACAAACACAGACAGCTCCCCTCTGCAGCCTCTCCCAGGACCCAGAGCTGTGCAGGGGAGACCTCACCCCTAGGAAGTAGGGCCCAGGGGGTGCTATTCTGTGGCCTTGGGAGACCACTGCAGAGAGAAGCCAGCCAGACTATGTCTACACTGCGTAGTTAAACCGAGGCACAGATCTGGACCCAATTCTGCCTCTTCCTACTGTCCACATAGAAATCTGTCTGACTCGGGACCTAAGACCCTCCTGGGACAGGGCAGGGTCTGACCCCAAATCCCATTGAGGCTTGGGTTCAATCATTGTCATTTTGTGGCATGCACATAGCTCAAGCTGCAGACCTAAGTCAGAAGGTCTGCCCAGTGCAGTATGGGCACCTTAGCATGGCTGTGAGACCCGATTCCAGCAACCCGGGTTTACAGTGCAGTGAGGGCACTCCTATCAGTCTATCTATTCCCATATCTATCTATCTATCTATCTCCCCATGGATACCCCTCTATCAATCTATCTAATTTCAATTAAAGCAGGAGACTTTCCTAGGGAAATTAAAAATAACTTGTAGCTCGGAATCCCTGAGTAAGAGCAGAACCAGTGATTAGGTCCCAGTGGTCATGCAGGAGACATAAATATCTGTGGTCGTACACATTTACTCTTTGCTGCCAGAGATGAGGCTGCCCCTTCTGCTCAAGGTAGGCCTGAGAGATTGCCATTAAATAAGATCAATTAATAAATTCATTGATGTTAAGGCCAGAAGGGACCATTATGATCATCTAATAGGAATTTGCACCTAACACAGACAAGAGACTCTCAGCCAGTGTGTCCTGCCTTGGACCCATTCACTTGTTGGTGAACACAATAATTTAAACCAAATGCAAGGAAATGATCTGAATTGAATTAGGCTGGGATTTTTCAAAGGTGCCGAAGGGAGTTAGGTGCCTAACACCCTTTGAATTTCTATGGGATTTGGGGGGTTAATTGCTGCTCAAACTGTCTAAAAATGGGTGAAAGTGGGGAGAAGAGAGAGGATGATACCAAGATCTTCTTGTGTTTCCTTTACACTACATGTGGAAAGTTTGCGTTTGAACCGATTGGTAAGGTACAAGAGTAGAGATAGCTAGCTAGCTGGATCCCCAACTGGAGGTGGGCAGGAAATGGTATGCCCATCCTGTGACAATTTTGAGTTAAAAACATTTCTTGTTCCAGATCAGGACCAAGCTGAAACCTTTCAAAGATTTATGACCAACCCCCCATCTCCCGGGCTATAGAGTAAGCTTCTATTTCATCCTCTCTGGGCCAGTGTATATTTATTTATTTATACAAAGTGGAACAGTTCCAACAGGAGAAACTGAGACACCCTCCCCTCCCCCCCCCCACAAGTGGTATGTGAGCTTCCCTGGTCTGAATCAGGCAGAACACAGATTTGAACCTGGTGCTCTCATCATCAAGCTACTGATATTCAGGAGCAGGTTGGTCAGTCTTTCTCTCTTTTTCCCCCCCTCTGGTTTTAACCAGAAATTCTTTCCTGGACACAAGGAACCTTTTTCCCTTAAAATTTTGGCAAAATTGGTATGTTCCCTTGAGAAATTTCGGTTACAATTCATTCACATTTTTCTGTTTTGTTGAAGGTTTCCTAACCCGTTTTATTCCCAATTTGTGGCTACATTGATATTTAATTTCTTCAGGGTTGATATGATATAGATTCATTTACAGCAGCGGAATACATCCATGTATATACTTGTGCTGTGGACAGTAGAACTGGGGGCCTCTTGGCTTACACCATGCATTGTAAAACTGAAATCTGGTGCAACAGCTGACAAGGTGAGTTCTCATGCTAAGAACTGCCTATCTCTAATCCACAGGTGTTTACAGCTACGGAGTGTTAGAGAGATTGTACCAACTCATCTATGTACATGCTATTTGAAGAAGAATTTAATAAGGTCATTATTGATAGCTGAGAAATTAAAGAGGAAAGAACATAGAAGGGAAAATCAACTCATGTGATATTTCTTTTTTTGCATTATGCCTGGGATTTTTAAAGGGTCCTAAGGGAATAAGACGCAATCAATGGGCAAAGTTTTTAAAAGTGCCTAAGTGACTTGGGAACCTAAGTCCCATTTTAAAAAGTGACTTGGGAATTTAACACCAAATTTTCAAAGGTGTTTAGGTGCCTAAAGACTCAGTTAGGCACATAGTGGGATTTTCAGACATTTCTAAGCCGGTTAAGTACCTAACTTTCCCTTGATGTTCAATGGGAGTGGTCAGATTTCTGTTCGAGGTACCTTTGAAAATACCAACCCAAATGATGTAGCAATCAACCAGGTTTAATTCCAGGAAATGGGCAAAATAATTTCCTCTCCTTTTTTGTGCTGGGAAAAGAAAATCAAGTGAATTTTAAATCGTAGTGTTGTCAGAGGAG